GTCCTACTCGTCGGGCTCACCTAGCTCGCCCTCCCTGCCCCCCACCCCCATGTCGGCCGCCAACTCGTCCCCCAAGATCGGCGTCCAGGGCGGCTCGCCCATCCTCTCCTACTTCCTCGCCCAGTCCCCCACCAAGCCCACCGGGACCTTCCCCTTCAAGCGCTTCGGCGCTACGCCTGTCTTTGAGGGTGGGTGGCAACAGCACACTTCCCTGATCAGCATGCTAACGTCAGGCAGAAGATGAACCCGAGCAAGAGCCCGCTGCCTCTGCACACGCGCGTCGCGCCAGCACCCACCTCGCCGGCCGCTTCGCTGCTCCGCAGCCCGTGCCCGGCGAGCAAAACGAGCGCGGCACAGGCATCCTCCGCCGCCTCTCCATCGGGGGCGCCGCCGCTTTCTCCAGGGTACGTCGTGCGCAGCAGGCGAGGTGTATGCGTGGTGCTGATAGCGATAAACACAGCCGACCGCTGAGATGCTGTCCCCGACGCATGCGCGGACGCCGTCGAGCCCCACGATGAACTCCCCTGCCCCGTCGGGCGCGGCCACCAGGGTACCGCCGACGACGCAGATCCGCAAGGCCCGTCGGTCGGCGACGGTGTCCACGGACAGCAAGCCCCGCCGTGCGCCGAGCCCGATGGGCGAGCGCATCCTGAAGGGCCACTTCGATGGGTTCAACTAGGTCGTCCCCTAGGCTGTTCCCGCATCCATCTTCTCTCTGCTTTGGTCCGCAGCAGGATACCCGCAATCGCTGTCGGATGTGTATCATCACCGTCACCCATCAACCAATCTCTTACCATCCGTCGTTGTCTGTCGGTCATTCGTCGTCCCTCGTCGTCCGTTTGCCTTAGTCGCCAACTTGCTTCGTCTTACCAGATTATCGTCCTCGTCGTCAAATAACCGCCTCGTCGTCGACTTGTCCCCTTCTCCCTCGTCTGCTTGCTTGTCTGTCACCCCCTAGAATAAGTCTCGCGTATTGGTATCGTCTCTGGTCAGGCATCCTTGGTACTCCTGGGTCCGGCCGCGGTGGAGACATAACAGCGCTCCTTGCCGCTCTCGCGCTGATAGGTTCGTCGTTTTTGCTCCATCTCGTTTGTCAGTGTCAGATGCTGACCATGCGCGCAGTTTCTTCGCCCGCTGGCCGTTGTCGAAAAACGAATGTTAGTTGCTGGACGGTCGGTGGAGTCGTGGTCGGCATCGCTGTCCAAGGCCGAAGTGGCTGTCACCGCCGCCCACGGCCGTCGGCTGTGGTCACCGCCGTCGCCATGCCTGCGACTGGTCTGCATGTCTGTCTAAATAATAAAAGTGTATCACTGGGTTACTTAAATATTGTACTGTATCACGGTCTTTTTTTTCTCTTTCGCCGAGTGTTCCTCCTGCTCCCTCATCGAGTACGCTTCTTCCTCCGTCGAGTACCGTTTCTCTCCTCCATCGAGTATTGTTCCTCTCTTACTTAAGTAGCCTTCCTCTCCATTGTACGCGTCCTGGACTCGAATTCATGTGAATGTATTGTGTTTGCTTGTGATCCTCTTCGCGTGATGGCAAGCACTGCGACTGGGGATGAGAAGTACGTTCGGGGGTGTCAAGTGAGTGAACGGCGAGGGGTTTTGCGCTCGTTGAGAACCTTGTCGAGCAAAGGGCAAAACGGAGTCTGATATAAAGCCTTAATGCCTTCCAGTCACTAACCCTTCTTAGCTCAGTTGGAAGAGCATCAGACTGTAATTGGTTAAAGATCATCTGGGGGTCGCCTGTTCGAACCAGGCAGAAGGGAATATTGCGATGCACCACGGACATTTATTTTGCTGTGTTTTTACCTCGATTACTGAAGCAGTCGTTATCGAATTCGTAGACGGAGCCGACAATGAGTGTAGCATCTGGCTTCCCAGGAAGTGTAACGAAGTTGAGGCAACCCTTCGAACCGGCCCCGGGACTTCGGTCTACCGGGCCGCACTGCGCGGACACGCGCGTTCTAACTTCTTGGACAGGAAGTTGAACTTGTCACCGACCTCCACTGCCGAAAGCGACCTCCACTGCCGAAAGCGACCTCCACTGCCGAAAGCGACCAGCGTCGCTAAGTATGATTGCGGAAGAGTCGCCACCACCTGGCATGGCATATACGCCGCCGGATACGCCTGCCAGCATTGCGGCGAATAATAACAAGAAGCGGAAACGCGGCCCGCCACCTCCTCAGACGGCGGCTACGCCGGAGCAGGAAACTGAGTGCGTATATGTTTTGTTTGGTATTTTTCTTCTAAATTAAAGCTGCTCTGATGAATGTCTATCACTCTGCTTATATCTCTTGATCCTACTGTTGTAAAATGCTAACACAAGCCCATTTTCAGCGTCATCTCATCCCGGTCTGACCTTTCGAACCGTCCTCGGTTAGAGTATGCTCGAGGGCCCTTGTTTATCCCCATACAGGACTCGGACCTCTTTAGGACTGACCTCATCCCGATGAACCACATCGGCTTCCGCTACACGCCTGCAGGGATTCACCCAGTGAACCACCTGCTGCCACTGCGCACCATCGCCTACCGCCCGCCGACCTTCCGCGCCGCCTTCGAGGACCGCAGCCCGTACATCGGCATTTCGCAAGACGGCCTGACGCTCGAGGGCTGCGGCGGCTTCCGCACGGTGCGCTGCACGGCGCCTATGCGCGAGGGCAAGTGGTACATGGAAATCGAGGTCGTGCGCGGCGGCGGGGACACAGGCGCGCACGTCCGCCTCGGCTGGTCGCGGCGGGAGACTCTGCTGAACGGGCCCATTGGACTTGACGGTTACAGCTACGCGTACCGCGACCGGACGGGTGACAAGGTGACGCTCGCACGGCCGCGTCCGTATGGGAGGCCATTCGGCACGGGGGACATCATCGGGATGTATATCTCGCTCCCTCCTCGGCGCCCCGCGAACCCCTTGGACCCGCACGACCCGGCGCATCTGAGCCGCGTGCGCATCCCCATCGACTACAAAGGCCAGGAAGTCTTCGAGGCGCTGGAGTACAAGCCCAGCCCGGAGATGACTGCGCTCATGGACCCGCACGCCGCCGCGAAGGCCGCTGCCTCCGCGTCCCGGCCGACGAAGCAGGCGAACGACCGTGCGCCCGATAAGCGGTCTGGGAGAGCACCAGGCGGGGCGCGCTCGGCCAACGCGGCGCCCGCTTCACGGCCCCTCCCACGCCTGCATGGCGCGCATATAGCCTTCTTCGTCAATGGTGTTTGCCAGGGTGTCGCCTTTGAAGATATCCTGGACTTCCTCCCCCTCCGCGCAGCCGCGAGTGCTCATCGCGGCCCGCGTCGCCGCCCGCCCAAGGAGGGGCAGAAGGAGCATCGGCTGAATGCGCACGACGATGGCACGCTCGGCTACTATCCCAGCATCTCACTTTATGGCCCTGCGCGCGTGAGGCTCAACCCGGGACCCGACTTTGTGCACCCGCCGCCAGACGACGTTGACGCGGTGCTGTTCGCGCGCCATGCGCCGCTGGTTGCGCCGCCATCGACGGGCCGTGCGTGGCGTCCGGCGTGCGAGCGCTATGGTGATTTTATGGCCGAGCAGCGGGAACTCGACCGCCAGGAGGAGATCGAGGGCGCGGCAGCTCTGGCGGAGGCGCAGAAAGCGGCAGAGAAGGAGGCAGCGGTGGCGGAAAAGAAGCGCGTGCGGCGCGAGGCAGATGCGGCGCGCCGGCGGGCGGCGAAAAACACGCAAGCTCGAATGAGCACCAGCGCGCAGCCGAGTCCGCTGCGCCATGCGACGGCGTACTCCAACGAACTACACGTGGAGAGAAAGCCCAGTCTCGACGAGATTGCGAGCAAGCGCCAACGCGCGGACTACGACGACCTGGACGAGTCGTCGCCGTATGCGGGTCAGGCAGGGTACGAGCAGACGCCGGAGGCCGAGTATGAGCACACACCGGAGGCCGAATACGAGCATCACGGCACTGGGCTGGTCGCACCTGCGCCGCGTGTGGCGGAGAGCGCATACGCGGCCATCATGAGCCAGCCTCGTGAGGTGCTCTACGACCAGCGAGAATCCTTTGAATCGCACGAAGCGCCAGGCGATGCGACTGGGGACGTGCTCATGCAGGATGCAGAAGGCGAAGTGGATGGAGATCTGCAAGACGACGGTATGCAACGCGCCAGCACGCCCGAATCTGCCATCCAGAGCACCCCTGGGTCTCCGACTCAAAGCACCCCCGGGTCGCCCGTCGCGAGCACGCCAGGGTCTCCGATGCAGAGCGCGCCGGCTTCCCCGAGACAGAGCACGCCGGGTTCACCCTCTGCGTATGTCAGCCATGCCGAGGCTGAAGACGGCCACGTTGACGCTGACGAGGGGAATGCTTCTGAATACGACGAGCACGTTACCGAAGACGACATGCCGAACGAGTATGCCTTCCAGCTTGGTCAAGAAGATGCGGACGACGACGACGACGACCCAGAGGGAGATTACGACGAGGTCCATGGTCAGATCGTCGAAGGCGACTACGATACAGACGAAGGGCACGATGAAGATGGCGACGAAGTGCAAAACGATGGGTACGGAGATGTCCAGGGTGCCCCGGCGGATGGCTACAGCTCCGATGCAGCTTCGGAGGAATGATACTATATCAGGGCATCGAAATTGGGCCATGCAGAGGCACAACTCCGCATGCTATGAATCAATGTCATCCGTCTTGAATGCTAGTACTCCGTTTCGCCCCATGTCCTCACATCCGTGGGGCGTGCTACTGCTAAGCGAGGAGAAATGCACAATATTGTGGGTCGAGTTGCATTCGAACCCACGTTGACGGGAGCATAGAGCCTTGCTAGGGCGGGCTAGTGTTTTGAACATGAGCTCATGCACGTGGGTCCGCTACAAAGTAGCTTTCGGCTCGGATACTTTTTCTGGCAGGTTCTGTCATGATAAGCTCAGCTCCCATTGTTGTTCCCAAAGAGGAAGGCATTGTGCAGCTCCCCTCCCCGACGCTCTTTCCTCGCCGTCCTCTGCCTTTGCGAGGTCGCAAAAAGACATGACGAGAGGGGGATTCGAACCCCCGCTCCGAAGAACTAGATAGGGACTATTAATCCTGATTCTAGCGCCTTAGACCGCTCGGCCATCTCGCCTTGAATGTCTTCGAAATGCGTGGCATAACATTAGCCAAAACCGTGGTCCTTCTAGCGTTGTAACTGTACAACAAGACCCAGCAAATTGTGCCCATCTCGAAACGGTTGAGTGAGGGCTGCACTTAGAGCTGTCGATGACCATCGAAGTCTCAAATATAACAATAATTAGCGGAATAAAGCTCTCAAGCACAAACAAACAAACCTCAACTTGCCTCAGCACGTCACGTTCGGTTCCCAGCTTGTTCGACTACTCATACAAGGCTTGCACGCAACGACACGAGCAAGAAGGTAACGCACTGTGAACTTCAACACTCACACAAAAATCTCCGCCTTTGCTTTCGGCGTCCGCCTCAACGGTCGACTTGTCATTGTTAAAGTCGATAAACTCCCGCAAACGCTACCTTAGATACCACGACATCATCTGCTTCGCCAGCGCTATTTCTCTGTCTTCTACAACATGTCTATACCTGTCACAATCGGCGCGTCTTCGGCAGTCTCTCCTCTGCCGTCTGGCTTGGCACGGATATCGAACAATGAAGTCGTGCTCATCGAGCTGCAAGGCACACTCGAGGTAGAATGCCGTGAAGAGCGCGAGCGCGATGGGCGTCTTATTGGGCGCCTCGGAATTGATGAGAAGGGGGTGAGTCCTCGTCGCCATATTCTCGTTCGTCCCCTGCCTTCCACCCTCTGAAGCTGCTTCCTTCCTTACCTCTTTCAATCGCGTGGCACGCCTTCTTCTTTGGCTTCGTTGCCCCGTAACTTGCTCTTGACACTGACACTGAACCAACAGACTCGCGCCACACTCCGCATCGGGCACCATTTCCTCGAGGGCAAGGTCGCGCAGATGCCCAAGCCATTCGCTGTAATGCAGCGCAGCCACGTATCTACGCCGCATGTAAGAGGAGCCGGCAGCTACGACGCGCTAGAAGGGGATAACGGACTCGAAAACAATGCCGCAGACAGGCGCGAGGACGATGCGATGGACCTCGACGCGCCTCCTGACGTGCCGCCGGAGCAGATGAACGTTAGCTGGGACATCATCGCCGTGGTCAAGCGCAAGATCATTTTCTCGAAACGGCCAATGCCCATCGTAGGGCGGACTGCGCCCAAGTTGGGAGGACGCTGAGGTAAGACCACAGCTCAAATCCAAGGGTATGTGCATCCAGCCAAAGTACGCTCCGCTGAAGAACACTGACGTTCAGCCCAGTTTCGAGAGAGAAGGCAACTTTTGTTATGTTACATATTATACTGTACATTGTGGTTATTACGGTGCGTGTCGAGCAGGATTGGCCCAGTCGGTCCATTAAAACTACTCTGCAGCTTTCAATCCATAGCGAGAGGAGAAAGGTGTCGCAAAGCTAGAAAAGAGAAGAGAAAGCTTGTCTTGAAGAGAGCGAGGCGGAAGATCTTGGGGGAGGGCAACATCCCTCTCTTCTTGTATCGCTCGTGCGTCAACGAGACGACATTTTGTTCTTGCAGTACGGGCAGGTCCTGCTGTTGACCCTGAAGACACCGCTGCTCAGCCCGCGCTCGTACGCGGGGAAAAACGTAGCGGCACGCACGAGTTCAAAAAATCAACGCCAGACAGCCAGGCGTTGCATCGTGAACAAAAGACCCCCGTACGCTGGTCGGGCGGCGGGGGATGGGACAAGGTAAAATCACCTCGAGGTAATGCTTGCCGGCTTGAGGATCGTGGGTCCACTGTTCGAGTACCTATGTTAGAAGAAGAAGAATATAAACCGGCCGTCGGTGTTGAGGATGGGGACGAGCTGTACCCTCCGTATTGGTTCGTGGGATGCGAACGAGATGAAATGGGTGCGCCGGCTCTTGCTCCCGCCTGCGCAGATGGTCAGCGTTACTCCAAATAGAGGACGTACACCAACCGGATAGCCCTGGGAGACGCCGTCAATCACACAGAAGAACGTGGAAGAGCAGCCGGCATACCTGATTGTTCGTCGCGTATGGGTTGGTCTTGTGTCGCTCGGCCGTGCTCCTGCACTTGTGGTCGGCAAGTGCATGGGCGCTCGGAAGGTGAGCACGGCATGCCGCGCAACTGTGAACAGGATGCATGGCCTGGATGTGCTGTGACGTGGCGGGGTTCAGAGGGCAAGTACGGCGGCAGCGACAGTGCACACCTGCTCCAGGGCCCGGTCGTCGCGGAAGGGTTGGGCGCAAGTCCTGCAGATGGGATGGCCTGCCGGTGAGTCCTTGACATGGTGCTCCAAAGCGTACGTGCTGGTGAAAGTCCGCTTGCAGGACGTGCACTGATGAGACATGTCGATGTAGGAGGGGTATGAGGGAGGAGGTATTGGTGGTGAGGTATGCGTCCATTAGCAGAGCTTTTATAGACATGGTGGCGTGCGAACGCACCTCAGGAAGTCCTGCTCCTTCAGACCCAAAGCTGTCAAAGTCCGAGCGGAAGCGAGGGGACGAGTCAATGATCGTGGGGGTTTGGAAAGAGATGTCGTCTTCGGAGGTGGGTAGATGAGCGGGTGGATGTCTTCCCCATCGTGTTCAGCATGCGCCGAGCGCTCGGTCAACGGAGAAAGGGAAACCGGGAGGTGAAGAGGGAGGACAGTTGACTATCGTGGGTGCCAGCGCCGTTCATTGTATGTTCCCATCATTGATCCGCCAAGTCAAGCAGCCTTGAGGCGCGTATGCCGATCGGTCCTCTACCGTCATCTCTGACTCTCTGCCTTGTTTATGGCCACGGTGAGTCACGAAGAAGCGCTCGGGAGTCACTGGAAGGTACACCGGTAGAGATTGTGGCTTCAAGCTCTCGACGTTCGAGCCCAGTGAGAAGTGCCCTACCCAGAAAAATCCCACGATACCTTAGACTATCCAGCGACCGATCATAGGCTGAGGTAGACGGGGATCGTCTCTGACCATGAAAATGATTGTACGAAACTAGCTGACCGTATCCAGATAGAATGCAGTATTATTCCATTGCTTCAGATATATTTCTACCTACTCAAGGCTACAGATACCTACCGAACGTCCCACGACGTCATCGCGGCTCGCTGGGCCCTACGCGGGCCCGGGGTTACAGGCTACCATCTGTCCCGCCGCCTCACCGCGCTCCCTGTCGCGCATGCATAACATAGTCTGCAGCAAGATTCAGCTGGCTGAGCGTAGGGCAGACTCATAGCGAGACGTACTGTATGCCGATACCGTACAGATGTTCGCTAGTGGGCCTACGCGTGCGCATGATGCCCGCAGAGGGTGAGATACAACTGTATGCGGGGCGTGCGAGCCCTGAGCGCAGCCGTCCCTACGAGAAAGTCAGTTATGCATCGTCGTACAAGGTCGCAAACGCACCCGCATGTTAAGATCGTGCGTATGAGCACCCGATGAGCACGTAGAAGGCGCCGGCGCGCGACTCTCGCCAATGCGAAATCACGCCAGTGCGCGGCCTGCTGGTGTTGTGTGCAGTACAATCGCTTCGAAGAGTACCTGGAAAGGGAGTTCGCCAGCAAAGACCATCTACACCTGTATGTATGCGCCCAGTCATCATGTCTACCATCCTGTCGATCATGGTGGTAAGCATGCGTGGCCTACATAAGCACAGAGAAGGACACGTACCTTGCACGTCTGAGCGCTAGACTCCTGCAGTCAAATCGACGTATATGCGCCCTCGTTAGGGTTTGCTCGTCGGGCGCCCCGCGGCGCGCAGATCATACCGCATCTCATGCAGGAAGCCGTCAACAGGCGGCCAGGTGCCGACTGTCACGTAGTCGGCAGGGCCGGGAGGGGAGGTGAAGCGGGGAGGCACAGGCGAGATGACTATGGACATGGTGGGGAAAGACAAGAGGCGAGCGGGGCGAGCGATGGGCAGAGGGGGGCGTCGTCTTAGATCGCGTCGCCATCAGGTGATGGCACGACGCACGGGCCAGGAAGCGGAGAAGACTTCAGAATTCGAAGAAGTTGTTGACAAGAGGGCGGACGAAAGTAAGATGTCAATTATTTGAGACAGATTTTGACAGTCGACGTCGTTCGAAGTTGCAATCGAGGGCGCAAGAATCCTTCTTCGACAGTACGAAGGAGGTTGGGTACGTCGTGGTAGCTCTCTATAGTGGTGGGTAGCGAGAGATACCGTGGGATTTCTATGGGTAGGGCACTTCTCACTGGGGTTCGAGTCCGAACAGATCTTCAAGGCAAGTCACAATCCCGCTCCAGTCGGGATATATGTTTGCTAATCAGATACTCCAGAGTATACTTATGTAACGAGATATTTACCGACGCCTCGTACTTGATGCCATCTCACAAGCAGAATGTGGATGAGCATCGCCCGCTTCGAAGTTCGAATTTCGAGCGGGAGAATGCGAACAATGACATGGATCGTGGGAACGTTCGGACCGACGGACCGCCGACCTTCAACAGCTTCGGCACGTGAGACTCGGACCTGCAACCGCCCTTCGTCTTCAACTTCATCATCCAGCTTTTCTGGAACTTGACTATCTCAAATTTACGCGTCAGCTTATCAAAACCTAACACCACATCTCAGACGAACTAATCTCTCGCGCCACTGTGATACTGAGTCCTGCGCCACATATCGAGCTCGCGCCACATCTCGCACGCATCCATCAACCAGCTTTACCCCCTTATACTTTGGAGCAGGCATGAACTTCCTCAAGCATTTGAAGGGCAAAGGTCGGGAGTCAGATGCTCCTCCGCCAGCCTGGGCGCCTGCACCAGAATCATCCGTTGGTTCCTTTCTCGTTACGAAAAATCTATAACTCACCTTTCAATCCCAGTACAAGGATGGACTGATCAACGAGGCTCCAGAGGACGAGTACGAAGGAGCAGAGGAATTCTGCAGCAACTTTCCCCCCGACGCCCCGCGTCTGATACCGACCGCTGCCCTAGAGGCTATGCAGACGCTAGGCTGCCGCGCGTGGGGCATCGAACATCCGAACACGCCACGATTTATCGGTCGCGTGCAGAGGGCAGACGAGACGAAGGGAGGCGCCGCCGTCGTTCGCGTGCAGACGCTCCCGAAC